TCTAAGAAAAGTTGTTTTCATACCTAACGTGTCCTTTTAAAGTAATAAAGTCCCCATCAAAAGTAAATCTGTAATTTACTGAGTACTTTATCAAAAGTGCAGTCACATCCTTTGGGTACTATTATGACATTGGTCATCACCGCTGGGTGTTGCATATTTGCTTAGATAACTTCAGTTTCTAGTCTTATTAGCCCTGGCCTCCAGCATGTTGTCCAATTAAATCTTGCCTTCCATACCATAGAAGAGAGAGAGCACTGATGTCGTCTATAAGGATAGAAACTTTGTGTTTGTCAGAACATCTGTAATATTTAAGGGTATCTGATTTATAAACATGGTCTCCAATAAAATATTAGCAAGTGGCAAATAAAGATGTCTCAAACTGGATCTTCATCTTGATAAGGTTAAAAAATACTTATTGAAACGTCTTTATAGATAGGTGCCAAAAAGAAGACTCATTAAAATGTGCAGAAACAACAGATGTATAACGGGAGCTGCAGTTAAAAAACAGTTGTTTATTTCGTTTTCACATGACCCATCCAAGTGACACAAGTTGTTTTAAGGAAGCGATAAAGATTTTTATTCAGCAGCATTGTTGGCTATTTTCAAGTTTCAGAGAATAGTGATTTATTTGTAATCTAATGCTTGTATTTGTTAGAAGGCTTGGGGTTATCTCAATCAAGTCAAGATGTTTGTTATTTTTGTCCAGGCCTCTCATTAAATGTAAATAGATCGATACTTACTTCTAATTCAGAATGTTCTGCCATGTTTCTGAGGGTTATTTACAAAGCACTAATTGTGCATCCCAATTGCAAAATTTGTAAATAATCTTCAGTTTTAACCCCAAATTATACGCGATTATAAGAAACAGGAATTTTAGACATGGTTTCTGCTAATAAAAACGTAATATTTATTAAATATAAAATGCATCCTGATGTTTCACTAAATCTGTCACTTTAGAACAGCTCTCAATATTTCCTGATTTTCGCTGCTCGTCTGGGAAGTTTTACGATACGTTTTATCATTTTTATTAGCATATCTAGAGCCCCAACATATTACATAGTGCTTTACGTTTATACAGCTGGGATAGATAACAGACGGTAATTGACAAATAAAATAATGCTGACAGATAGTAGTGAGAGCACTGTTTCCTTGACTGCTATACACAAGGTGTATAAAACACATAGGGTCCCTGGAACTGTGCAACAGCAGGATAACCTTGCAGTCACAATGAGTGTTGGGTGGAAGATGGCATGATAGCTCAAACTGGGGTCCCTGGACCTGTGCTACAGCAGGAGAACCTTGCAGTCACAATGGGTGTTGGGTGGAAGATGGCATGATAACTCAAACTGGGGTCCCTGGAACTGTGCAACAGCAGGAGAACCTTGCAGTCACAATGGGTGTTGGGTGGAAGATGGCATGATAACTCAAACTGGGGTCCCTGGAACTGTGCTACAGCAGGAGAACCTTGCAGTCACAATCAGTGTAGGGTGGAAGATGGCATGATAATTGTGACGGAACGCTGGCACTCCGACTGAGTACCTCCGCCAATCGATGCTCCTAGTGCTCGCTGAGGACTCCAAGCACTCCAACCGACACCATCAGCACTGCAGACCCCACTTCCAGCGATGCAACTGCGCCGGGGTCTCTGCTGTTTCCACCCACCCTGGACCCAAGGCCAGGATCCAGCTTCCAGTGGGTGAACCTCTCTTTCCCCAGAGAGCAGGAACAGGAACAAATCAAGCTATTGCAAGAGCTTCCTCTGGGGAGTAAGTGATTATAGCAATCCCCAGAGTGTAGGTATCCCTTCCCCCAAACATGAGCCAAGGCTTAATGCTGGAACAAGACTGATTTACTGGCACACAGAACTCACAATTTATGCAACACAAAACTCCTCCTCTGGGCCAGGCTAGATAATTGAGTTTCTACAATACACAAAACTCAATTATCTGCTGGCCAGAAATAATACAGTTTCATAAAACACACAGGGACCCCAAAACATGCAATAACCCCATAAAAAGTATATCCTTGGAACCGGGGGATCTGGGTGAACCACATATCCAAAATTCACCCAGATCCGTTCAGTACTTTGGAAAATACAGTTTAATGCAGATTCTGCAGAACATATACAGGCTAAATGAAAAACAATCACTGTATAATGTGTCCCCTGCTGTATAGTCCAAAACCACCGCACGATGTCTCTGTGCACCAAATACTGGCGAGATGGCACCGTGTTGAAAAGTCCAAACAGTGTCTGTGAGTTAAAATGGCGCCATCCATTGTTCTCACCATGTGCTTCTGATACAGGAAATGGTGGCCACCCAGTAACTCCACAGTATGTCCCCAGATGGTTCTTAAAGGGCCAGCAGCAGCACAACACAAATCCATTATGCCCAAATCATGTCTTTAAAGGGCAATACAAACCAGGGGCCATAGTCACAGGGCAAGAGGCGGGCAAGCAGTCCTCTCCAGGCACAAGTGGTGAAGGGCACTTCGTCACACATCTTCCCTTTGGGGGGAAGACTAAACAGGTACCTGACCTTCTGCCGGTCAGTACCTAGATTAGTCGGGCAGCCCACCCACAAAGAAAAATACACAGAGTAACCCCCCCACAATAAATGGTACTGGCCTGTAGGTTCAAGTTTGTAGTGGGACAGCGCAGCACTCTCGGTCTCCCTGGTGCAGCTAGGCAAACTGCTGGTGTTGCTTGGGGGCAGAGGCCAGCGGCGCTCTGCCCTGCTGCCAGCTCTTCCACTGGGGTAACCCGTGGTAAGTCAGGCTCTGATACAGGGGAAAAGGGGGGGCAGAGGCTAACAGAGCTCTGCCCAGAGGCCAGCTCTTCTGCTGGGAGGGGGTCAGTGGGTATCGCAGGCTCATCCACTGCCCCCAGGACCCGGTTGGGATGTAGCTGGGGAGGGGAAGTTTTGCTTACCTCCTCCTCCTGGCATCCCTGCGGGGTTGGTTGGGGATCTGGACCGCCCGTCCAGCCTCCCTGTAGGACTGGCACAGAGACCGCGGTCCCATCTGCGCCAGTGTGGTTAGGTTTGTCTTCCCCCTCTCCCGGTATCTCTGGCTGCTGTTGGAGGGGGAGGCTGGTTGCCCCCACTCCCCAGGACGCTGGTTGCTGTAAGGTGGAGGGATCGACCATCACCTCCTCCTGGAACTCAGGCCGCCGCTGGGGAGAGAGACCAGTTGTCTCCTCTCCCTGTATATTATGCTGCCGCTGGGGACCTGGGCTGACTGCCCAGCATCCCTGTAGGGCCGGCAGAGAGACTTCGGTCCCATCTCCGCTTGCCATCTCTGTGTGTCCCCAGGACAAGTCTATGAGGTCGCCCACCTCCGGCTGCTGTTGGAGAGGGAGGCCGGTTGCCTCCCCTCCCCAGGACGCTGGTTGCTGTATGGGGGAGGGATCTACCATCACCTCCTCCTGGAACTCAGGCCGCCGCTGGGGAGAGAGACCGGTTGTCTCTTCCCTCTGTACGGTGCACTGCCGCTGGGAAGGGAGGTCGCTGCTCTCCTCTCCCTGTAACTCACTCTGTCGCTGGAGACGGGGTGTCAATACCCCAAACTCCACAGTTGGTACTCGTAGTTCCGTGCGTCTTGGTTCTCAGCACTCAACAGGCGCATCACTTGATGGACCACCTCATCTGAAGGGTTTGGGCCAAACCAGACCAGCCGCGCCTTTACTTCCTTCATGAAATCAGCACCCTCATAGCACTGTGACAGGCGGATTTGCAATTCACTGGCTGCTGTCCAGGGTCTTGCTAGCTCCATGTTGCTGTAGGTAGGGACGCTGCGCAGAGGCTAGCGTTGCCCTCAATTATAAATCCGTAACTCCACACGTTACCGGTGTCTCTGAGCTGCTGATCCTCGCACTAGGACGCCATCCCACCGCTGCCACCAAATGTGACGGAACGCTGGCACTCCGACTGAGTACCTCCGCCAATCGATGCTCCTAGTGCTCGCTGAGGACTCCAAGCACTCCAACCGACACCATCAGCACTGCAGACCCCACTTCCAGCGATGCAACTGCGCCGGGGTCTCTGCTGTTTCCACCCACCCTGGACCCAAGGCCAGGATCCAGCTTCCAGTGGGTGAACCTCTCTTTCCCCAGAGAGCAGGAACAGGAACAAATCAAGCTATTGCAAGAGCTTCCTCTGGGGAGTAAGTGATTATAGCAATCCCCAGAGTGTAGGTATCCCTTCCCCCAAACATGAGCCAAGGCTTAATGCTGGAACAAGACTGATTTACTGGCACACAGAACTCACAATTTATGCAACACAAAACTCCTCCTCTGGGCCAGGCTAGATAATTGAGTTTCTACAATACACAAAACTCAATTATCTGCTGGTCAGAAATAATACAGTTTCATAAAACACACAGGGACCCCAAAACATGCAATAACCCCATAAAAAGTATATCCTTGGAACCGGGGGATCTGGGTGAACCACATATCCAAAATTCACCCAGATCCGTTCAGTACTTTGGAAAATACAGTTTAATGCAGATTCTGCAGAACATATACAGGCTAAATAAAAACAATCACTGTATAATGTGTCCCCTGCTGTATAGTCCAAAACCACCGCACGATGTCTCTGTGCAACAAATACTGGCGAGATGGCACCGTGTTGAAAAGTCCAAACAGTGTCTGTGAGTTAAAATGGCAGCCATCCATTGTTCTCACCATGTGCTTCTGATACAGGAAATGGTGGCCACCCAGTAACTCCACAGTATGTCCCCAGATGGTTCTTAAAGGGCCAGCAGCAGCACAACACAAATCCATTATGCCCAAATCATGTCTTTAAAGGGCAATACATCCCAGGGGCCATAGTCACAGGGCAAGAGGCGGGCAAGCAGTCCTCTCCAGGCACAAGTGGCGAAGGGCACTTCGTCACACATCTTCCCTTTGGGGGGAAGACTAAACAGGTACCTGACCTTCTGCCGGTCAGTACCTAGATTAGTCGGGCAGCCCACGCACAAAGAAAAATACACAAAGTAACCCCCCCACAATAAATGGTACTGGCCTGTAGGTTCAAGTTTGTAGTGGGACAGCGCAGCACTCTCGGTCTCCCTGGTGCAGCTAGGCAAACTGCTGGTGTTGCTTGGGGGGCAGAGGCCAGCGGCGCTCTGCCCTGCTGCCAGCTCTTCCACTGGGGTAACCCGTGGTAAGTCAGGCTCTGATACAGGGGAAAAGGGGGGGCAGAGGCTAACAGAGCTCTGCCCAGAGGCCAGCTCTTCTGCTGGGAGGGGGTCAGTGGGTATCGCAGGCTCATCCACTGCCCCCAGGACCCGGTTGGGATGTAGCTGGGGAGGGGAAGTTTTACTTACCTCCTCCTCCTGGCATCCCTGCGGGGTTGGTTGGGGATCTGGACCGCCCGTCCAGCCTCCCTGTAGGACTGGCACAGAGACTGCGGTCCCATCTGCGCCAGTGTGGTTAGGTTTGTCTTCCCCCTCTCCCGGTATCTCTGGCTGCTGTTGGAGAGGGAGGCTGGTTGCCCCCACTCCCCAGGATGCTGGTTGCTGTAAGGTGGAGGGATCGACCATCACCTCCTCCTGGAACTCAGGCCGCCGCTGGGGAGAGAGACCAGTTGTCTCCTCTCCCTGTATATTATGCTGCCGCTGGGGACCTGGGCTGACTGCCCAGCATCCCTGTAGGGCCGGCAGAGAGACTTCGGTCCCATCTCCGCTTGCCATCTCTGTGTGTCCCCAGGACAAGTCTATGAGGTCGCCCACCTCTGGCTGCTGTTGGAGAGGGAGGCCGGTTGCCTCCCCTCCCCAGGACGCTGGTTGCTGTACGGGGGAGGGATCTACCATCACCTCCTCCTGGAACTCAGGCCGCCGCTGGGGAGAGAGACCGGTTGTCTCTTCCCTCTGTACGGTGCACTGCCGCTGGGATGGGAGGTCGCTGCTCTCCTCTCCCTGTAACTCACTCTGTCGCTGGAGACGGGGTGTCAATACCCCCAAACTCCACAGTTGGTACTCGAAGTTCCGTGCGTCTTGGTTCTCAGCACTCAACATGCGCATCACTTGATGGACCACCTCATCTGAAGGGTTTGGGCCAAACCAGACCAGCCGCGCCTTTACTTCCTTCATGAAATCAGCACCCTCATAGCACTGTGACAGACGGATTTGCAATTCACTGGCTGCTGTCCAGGGTCTTGCTAGCTCCATGTTGCTGTAGGTAGGGACGCTGCGCAGAGGCTAGCGTTGCCCTCAATTATAAATCCGTAACTCCACACGTTACCGGTGTCTCTGAGCTGCTGATCCTGGCACTAGGACGCCATCCCACCGGTGCCACCAAATGTGATGGAACGCTGGCACTCCGACTGAGTACCTCCGCCAATCGATGCTCCTAGTGCTCGCTGAGGACTCCAAGCACTCCAACCGACACCATCAGCACTGCAGACCCCACTTCCAGCGATGCAACTGCGCCGGGGTCTCTGCTGTTTCCACCCACCCTGGACCCAAGGCCAGGATCCAGCTTCCAGTGGGTGAACCTCTCTTTCCCCAGAGAGCAGGAACAGGAACAAATCAAGCTATTGCAAGAGCTTCCTCTGAGGAGTAAGTGATTATAGCAATCCCCAGAGTGTAGGTATCCCTTCCCCCAAACATGAGCCAAGGCTTAATGCTGGAACAAGACTGATTTACTGGCACACAGAACTCACATTTTATGCAACACAAAACTCCTCCTCTGGGCCAGGCTAGATAATTGAGTTTCTACAATACACAAAACTCAATTATCTGCTGGTCAGAAATAATACAGTTTCATAAAACACACAGGGACCCCAAAACATGCAATAACCCCATAAAAGTATATCCTTGGAACCGGGGGATCTGGGTGAACCACATATCCAAAATTCACCCAGATCCGTTCAGTACTTTGGAAAATACAGTTTAATGCAGATTCTGCAGAACATATACAGGCTAAATAAAAAACAATCACTGTATAATGTGTCCCCTGCTGTAGTCCAAAACCACATACGATGTCTCTGTGCACCAAATACTGGCGAGATGGCACCGTGTTGAAAAGTCAAACGGTATCTGAAGTTAAAATGGCGCCATCCATTGTTCTCTGTATTAGCTTCCTGATACAGGAAATGGTGGCCACCCAGTAACTCCACAGTATGTCCCCAGATGGTTCTTAAAGGGCCAGCAGCGTGACCTAAAATCCATTATGCCCAAATCATGTCTTTAAAGGGCAATACAAACCAGGGGCCATAGTCACAGGGCAAGAGGCGGGCAAGCAGTCCTCTCCAGGCACAAGTGGCGAAGGGCACTTCGTCACACATCTTCCCTTTGGGGGGAAGACTAAACAGGTACCTGACCTTCTGCCGGTCAGTACCTAGATTAGTCGGGCAGCCCACCCACAAAGAAAAATACACAAAGTAACCCCCCCACAATAAATGGTACTGGCCTGTAGGTTCAAGTTTGTAGTGGGACAGCGCAGCACTCTCGGTCTCCCTGGTGCAGCTAGGCAAACTGCTGGTGTTGCTTGGGGGGCAGAGGTCAGCGGCGCTCTGCCCTGCTGCCAGCTCTTCCACTGGGGTAACCCGTGGTAAGTCAGGCTCTGATACAGGGGAAAAGGGGGGGCAGAGGCTAACAGAGCTCTGCCCAGAGGCCAGCTCTTCTGCTGGGAGGGGGTCAGTGGGTATCGCAGGCTCATCCACTGCCCCCAGGACCCGGTTGGGATGTAGCTGGGGAGGGGAAGTTTTGCTTACCTCCTCCTCCTGGCATCCCTGCGGGGTTGGTTGGGGATCTGGACCGCCCATCCAGCCTCCCTGTAGGACTGGCACAGAGACCGCGGTCCCATCTGCGCCAGTGTGGTTAGGTTTGTCTTCCCCCTCTCCCGGTATCTCTGGCTGCTGTTGGAGGGGGAAGTTGGTTGCCCCCACTCCCCAGGATGCTGGTTGCTGTAAGGTGGAGGGATCGACCATCACCTCCTCCTGGAACTCAGGCCGCCGCTGGGGAGAGAGACCAGTTGTCTCCTCTCCCTGTATATTATGCTGCCGCTGGGGACCTGGGCTGACTGCCCAGCATCCCTGTAGGGCCGGCAGAGAGACTTCGGTCCCATCTCCGCTTGCCATCTCTGTGTGTCCCCAGGACAAGTCTATGAGGTCACCCACCTCTGGCTGCTGTTGGAGAGGGAGGCCGGTTGCCTCCCCTCCCCAGGACGCTGGTTGCTGTACGGGGGAGGGATCTACCATCACCTCCTCCTGGAACTCAGGCCGCCGCTGGGGAGAGAGACCGGTTGTCTCTTCCCTC